TGTATGGGGTTAGACAATGATCCAGTTTCATTCTCTTACATGTAGCTGTCCAGTTTTACCAACACCAGCTGTTGAAGAGGCTGTCATTTCCCCATTGTTTGTCCATGGCTCCTTTATCATATATTAATTGGTCATATATGTTTGGGTTAATGTCTGGAGACTCTATTCTGTTCCATTGGTCTGTGACTCTGTTCTTGTGCCAGTACCAAATTGTCTTGATTACTGTGGCTTTGTAGTAGAGCTTGAAGTTGGGGAGCAAGATCTCCCCCACTTTATTCTTCCTTCTCAGGATTGCTTTAAGCCTTTCATTCTTAATTGGTTTCTGAAACATTTCAGGAGTATCTGTTGCACCTAAGGTACAGACCTCAGCTCAAGGATAAAAAAGGAGGAATAAGACACCACTCCTGCCCCAGAGAGGACAGCAGTCCTACCCTCTCAGAAATCCTGTGCCCCTGCAGCAATATGGCATCCTGAGACAGGGATGTCTCCAGCAGCAGCTGAAATTGCATAGCTGTGCCCTCTACCTTTAAGATTTAATGTTATTCTCTTTTCCTGAAGATATAAACCCGTTCTTTTTGTCTACAAATTTGATGTCTGTGGTTGTGGACACATAGTTCTAAGTTACCTGATTTAAATTCTCACATTTATTGCTCTCAGAAAAGGTTCATTCCAGTTATGAAGGAGAAGCTGAAGAGAGTCTGACTTCAGTGACAAGGATCCTTTTATTTCAGAAAAAGTTGTTAAGAAAAAAAACACCCTAAAACTTATCTTACAGATAGATGTATCTACTGTCTTCTGTGAAGGATACCAAAATGTTAGTATCTATGTCTAAAAGTAATGAGATACTCTGGGTAAGCTTGGTAGTCATAAAATACCACAAACAGATTTGGATTTTGCACACAGTCTGTGACAGTGTCATACAGGTCAGTAGGATTTTGAACATCCTTTGCCGGAGGCACAATTAATGACTGATGTCCACGTGTGTAGGTTCCAGTAAGTACTCGCACATAATACATATGCTTCTTCCCATTTCTGTCTGGTCTAGAGTATGTATCATTGGCAGAATAACTGGCATGGACAGCAAAATATGTTCCTTTTCCATACGCCGTAGCTGTGAAGAGAAAAACAAAACGTTTTTCAGAATTTCAGTTTAGTCTGTAATTTGACATGTTGACCCTGTGTGCCAAATAATGTTAAAGCAATGTTCAGTTCTTCTCATTAAAGACTCAAAAACTTTTAGTGTGTTTTTAATTTCAAAAAACCATTCCTCCACTCCAGAGGGCCAATCAGTCCCTCTGGGATGCAGCACTGACTGTGACCCTGAAGTTCTGGCTGCACTGTGGCCACCAACCTCGGGGAAACACGATGTAATTCACACTGTCCCCTAGCCTGTTTCGGTTCCCGTGGCTGACGCCTCATTCAGAGCAGCCTGTACTCTCTCCCGTACCATTCTTTCCAGCATAACTGCGGTTGAAGCCATTTTGGTTGACATGCGGCACTGAGTCCACATCTGTCCCGTGGAAGAGCTGCCTCTCATTTGTTATGTGGCCATTCTTTGCATCTATGGTCTTTTTCTTTGCCTGGTAGCTATTCCAGAGATCCATATTCTGGATCCTTTCAATCTGCAAATCAATAAGGAAAAATATTCTGTCAGTGCCAAAAGCCCTAGATAAGAGATGACAAATGAAACGGGATGACTATTTTTCATAAATAAAAATTAAAAGAAACAGCAAGTTCAATGCCATATGGCTGCTTTCCATATTCTGAAATCTTTTTAGGTCCAGTATTTCACACAAACAGGCTTTGGGAAGAATGTGAATTTAATTTTAACATCTTTAAGTACCACACAAGAACAAAAACTGTTTAGGATCTTCAGTCCTTGCTGTGTGAACTTGGCCAACCAAGCCTCCCACTGCCTGCTTGTACCTGCATTCTAACTGCTCCTGTTGGTGGCGTCCTTCCTTTGTCACTTGGCCCTCCTCAGTCCTTCTGGTGCGATGGGCTAAGCACTAGAGTGTCTAGTCAAGAAGGAAATTAACCAGTGAAAATCTCTGGCCTAGTTGGAAGAGAGGGCCGTGAAGCCTGCTAGGAGGGGATCTGGTCGCAGAACCAAGTGGCCATGCTTTGACCATACTCTTTGGGAAGCGACCTCCAGGGCTCTGGTGGAGACTCATTCCAGACTCAAGAGGAAACAGGCAGATCTAGAATCTACAAGAACACTGGTTTGGGTTCTGAGAAAGGAAAAATCTAGGCAAGACAGAGCCGGAATGTAGGACATCCTACAACACAACTGGCTATCTTAAAATTCAATATCATGAAAAATAATTTTTTAAATGCAGCAGTACTGTTATTAAAAGAGCTAAAGGAGACACAATGACCAAATGCAATATGTGAACCCAGAGTTGGGCAGGGGACAGGGCAGGTAAATGAAAGCTGTTTTGACCAATTGGAAAAGTTTCAATATGGACCTTATATGGGATACTATTGAATCAATGTTAATTTCCTTATATGGGAAAATGGGGGTGTTATTTAGGAGACCATCTTTAATCTTAGGAGATAGCTGCTAAATATTTAGGAGTGCTATGATGTTTGCAACTTACTTTCAGATGCTTCAGCAAAAACAGTGGGAGAAAAAGCAAATGGGGCAAAATTGTTGAATCTCAGTGGAAGTTTATGCGCATTAAAAATCTTAGTCACAAGTCCTAACTGTCATGGAGGATGCCAGACCACCCATTCTTCATGTTAGTGTTTTCATAGTAGTAGGTATCTCCACAGAGGTGCCCTAAATAACACTCGCTCTGCTGTTACCTCTTTCATATGCTGGGATTTCAGGTTAAGATTTTATTTGAGAAAAGGTTCCACTACAAAAAAATAGTGAAATAATTTCTCTGGCCAAGGTCTGCCAAAATACGGCAAGCCTCCAGGGCCCACTGCAGATATGCTGGTCCACCGGATGGTTCTGTTCCATCTGGACTTGGCATTTCATGGGAATGAGTCAGTCAGCCACCACCAGGTGACTGTAATTGGTATTTGGAATGAAACTTACTTGTTATCTCAGAACCAAACCATCAAAGAGCTGAATGCTTGAATCATGTTGTCTTGGTACCTCATATAATTGCTTTTACTCAACTGGTTTACACTGAGGAATTGTTTTAAAAAGTGGTATAAAATTTTATATTGAATTTACTCTGAGGATGATTTTGAAGTTGTTTTCTAGTACTCGATTCACAGGCTGAATCTCTTAGTCAATCTTAGTATAGTGAAAACCTGTTGAGCCTCCTGATCACATGGTTTGTGTTTGATGTATGGACATTATGAATCTTGTGGCTGGCTGTTTACTTCTTTGCTTTGTCTACTGGGAAGCTCAGAGACAAATTTATGGTCCTCCTCCAGTAACTACTAAGACCTCATGTTACATATTTTTGTGACCTAACAGTACCCCTGTATTATCTTATTTTCCATACTTCTGTTTCTTTTTATACATTTTTTATCTATTTTTTTATCTGAATGTATGATATATATCTTCATAGGACACCTCAAATCATTTCTGAATTATTATGTGCTTAACCACATGAGTAAACAGAGTGGTGGCTGTGCAAATAGAGAGTAAGGGAAAATTTGCAAAGAAAGAAAATGCAGGCCTTATTGGCAGATTCATTTTTGTGTGGAAGATACTCAAAGATTTCCAGCTTTATTCAGAAAGTGGTGGAACTGAGGACAGAAATGGGGAAGGAAGGGGAAATGAGGAGATGATGACTTAGGTTTTAGGGAAACTGATTCAGCAGATAGACATTCAAGTAGAGACGCTTTAGGCCACTGGGATATGTCCTAGAGCTTGAGTCAAAATTTCAGACTGGAGATGATCTGGGAGCCAGCAACAGTGAAGTAACATTTCAAGCCAAGCAGAGGAAAAACATTTCCTGATGAGGTGCAGAGACAGAAGATCAAAACATAAGCCCTGTAGGTAAAGCTTAGATTAGGGATTGGGAGGAGAAACAGATACCAATGATAATCAGAGGAAAATTAGTTAAAGAAGGACAAAACGTCAATATAATATTACCATAGAAATCAACAGAGAACATAATTTCAAAGGGCAATACTAATGTTTAAAAGTGGAAGATTACAAAATAAGGGAGATGAACAGATTTACCAAGGAAGTGAACACTGTTGGCCGTGGGGGGTGGGGCAGAAGTGCAGAACCCCGATCTGAGGAGCCTCTGCCTGTCACTTTGTGTTGTTTGCTAGTTATCAAGTCCAACTTTGAAGCCATATTCTTTGAATTTTTATTAGCTTGCTCTACAAAGTAAATATGTGTCTTCAGTATTCCAATATATTACAATCTAATATTATATTGTAATAACCGACACAGAATCCCAATCTTCACGTCTCAGTAGTTGTAGTAATATGAATAGAATCTAAAATCTAATGACCATAACATATTCAAACTCTGGGTAAAAAAAAATGTTATGGGAAGTGAATGAAATGTGTTTATCCAGGACTATGATACCACTTATTTCCACTTAAGAAAGCCCACGTCAGCAGAGGCTTACCTTCTCTATGTTGAAGTCTGAGCAGGTCTGATTAAACTTGCTCGCCACAGTGCTGTATTCTGCATGGCTAGGCTGTAGCTCAACCACACAGACATTCTTCTGTTTCATATCACTCCAATTCGCAGGGATCTCAACTGCAAAAGAGGCACTTGAGGACTCCCTCCCACCTGGGAAGGCTGCATAGTCCACATTCCTGAGAAGCTTTGAATAACTGAGTAGCACCTGTTTTTTTATTTTACAGTCTTCTAATTCAACTTGTTCAAGAAGTTCCTTATCTTTCTAGAAGAATGTTTTCAAAACGTGGTCCACAGACAACCCACATCAGAACCAACTGTAATGCTTGTTAAAAAAAACAAACCTGCAGATCCACTGAATCAAATCTGAGGGGTGGAATCTGTGTACCTGCATCTTAATAACTTCCTGAGAACTGTTGGTGTAGTAGAACTCGGCTGTGTGTTCTGCTCAGTCACTAATCTGTCATAATTTAGTAATTTAGCAATAAATTATTTCCTTACAATGTTTTAAATAGTCACTGTTGTCTTGTTTACAAAGGTGTGCAGTTTTGCCAGAACTCAGCACCACCACAGGCCCACCACACCCATCCTCCCACAATTTTTCATGGCCTGAAGAGGCGGGTGGTGGCAGATTTTGCTCTGTCACAGGTTGTGGTGGCAGCTCTATCTCCTCTCTTGCTAAACAGAATCCCCTCCTTGATTTGCCATTGTCCTAGGGCTGCTCAGAGTCTGAGGAATTTATTCACACTGATCTCACAGGAGATGAAGATAATGGATAGGAAGCCAATCTGCTAGTTTTCAGTGGGGGAGTTATGTGGTTTGAAGGCAGGCATGGCTGTCTACACAAGACAAGCATTCCCTCCTTGGGGAGCAGAGCCCCTCAAAGGATCCAAAGGCTGCTTCCTGATGTGTGTGCATCAAGGAACCTTAGAGCAAAGGAGGAAGTGACTTCTGGGAGAAGATCCTACAGGCTCCCGGTACTCTCTGTTAGACACAGAGAACACACACTCTCTGACCAGGCTGTCTTCTCCCATTTGTTCTAGAAAAAAACTGGCCACTTTTCTTTAAGCCCATGGCTTCTCTCCTGGCTGAAGCAGACATTACCTCCCCAGCAGAACTGGCTCTGGGAAGCTTGCAAACTGCAGAGATGGGAGAAAATGCAAAGTGTGGTTATTACCATTAAGACAGTCATCCTCAGGCTGTCGGGTATGCTCACGCAGCATCTTCCGGGTCATAATGCAAGCGCTTCAAGCTCAGAGACCAAGGTTTTTATTTTATGCTTGAATTTTTCCTACTTGAATACAATTTTAATGTATGTACGAAACAGGTTAAGCTCAAAGTAGCTGTAAAATAATGGATAACCAGCATGAAAGTTTGACTCACCTTGAGATTTCATGAGGCGCCGAACAGATAAATTGCGTCCCTTTGCACCTGTTGCAATATATAATTTCAAGTCCACTGTGTAGCTCTGATGATTAATTTTGATATTAACAGTCTTTCTCTGTTCCTTCTTTGCTTCCTCCAATTGCAAATTGGTTATTTTGTCAAAATTATGAAAAATGTTATTGTCTTCATATTGCCATTCTATAAATTCGCTTACACAAGCTGCCCGGGATTCCTGTTCTTTGGCCAGTCTAACTCTCTTGATGATGTTCTCAATGGCATCTCTAGCCTTTATCGCATCTTTAATTCCCCAAACCTCAATCAGAGGTCTTTTATGGTCCAAGAAAATGGTAATATTTAAGTTCTTTTGCAGCTCATTCAATTCCTGAAATTCTTTTTCATCAAAGTCTTTGATACACTCATCTTCACTTGTGTAAGGACATTGTTCCTTTTTAATCAGATCCTGTATCCAGGAGAGGGCATTCTCCACACATGTTTCATTTTCACCACACACCTGAAAAACTGCTGATTCTGTTTTCTTTTCCAAAACCAAAGGATGTTTTTTTGGGGGAGATTGACCTGACAAGCTCAAAAATGCTAAGCGAGAAAAGAAAGGAAGATTATTTTTTCGTCACAATGCTGTACATTACATCCCCAGGACCTAGTTTGCCCACCTTTCACCCTCCCACCCCCATCTCTGACAACCACCAATCTCTTCTGTGAGTATGTTTTTTAGATTTATATATAAGTGATATCCTACAGTATTTATCTTGGTCTGATTTATTTCACTTAGCATTATGCTCTCTAGGTACATCCATGTGGCTGCAAGTGGCAAGGTTTCCTTCTTTTTTTATGGCTGAATAATGTTCCAGTGGGGTATGTGTGTGTGTGTGTGTGTACGTGTGTGTGTGTGTGTACACACCACATTTTCCTTATCCACTTATTTGTTGATAGACACAGGTTGTATCCATGTCTTGCCTATTGTAATTGATGCTGTAATAGATATAAGGGTGCAGATATCTTTTTGAGATAGTGATTTCATTTCCTTTGGATAAATACCAGAAGTGGAATTGCTGGATCAGGTAGTAACTCTATTTTAATTTTTTGAGAGACTGCAGTAATGTTTTCCACAATGGCTGCACCAAGTTAAATTCCTACCAACAGTGCACAAGGGTTCCCTTTGTTCCACATCCTCAGTAACACTTGTTATTTCTTACGTTTTTGATAATAGCCAGTCTGTCAGGTGAGGTGATAGCTCATTACAGTTTCAGTTTGCTTTTCCTTGATGATTAATGCTGTTGAGCACCTTTTCATGGACCTGTTGGCCATTTGTATGTCTTTGGAAAAAGGCCTATCAGATCTTCTGCCCATTTTTTAATTGGATTGTTTGGTTTTTCTATTGAGTTGTCAGAGTTCTTTATATATGTTGGATATTAACCTCCTATCAGGTATATGACTGGCAAATATTTTTTCCCATTCCATAGGCTGCCTTTTCATTTTCTTAATGGGTTCCCTTACTGTATAGAGGCTTTTTCGTTTGAGGTTTTCCCAGGTTTATTTTTGCTTTTTTTGTTTGTGCTTTTAGTGTCAAATCCAAAAAATCACTGCCAAGACTAATGTTAAGGAGTTTACCCCCTATATTTTCTTCTGCAAGTTTTATGGTTTCAGGTTCAAGTCTTTAATCCACTTTGAGTGGATTTTTGTGTATAGTGTAAGATAGTGGTCCAGTTTCTTCTTTTGCATTTAGCTGTCCAGTGTTTCCAACACCATTTATTTTAGTATATATGCTGCTGAAGCAAGCACCAAAGACTATTTATTGAAGAAACTATCCTTTCCTCATTGTATATTCTTGGCTCCTCTTTTATAAATTAATTGACTATACAGATGGTCCCAAATTTATGATGACTTGATATTTTTACTTTATGATGGTTTGAAAGCAATATGCATTCAGTAAAAATTGTACTTCATATTTTGAATTTTGACTTTTTCTCAGGTTAGTGATATGCAATATGACACTCTATTGTGAAGCTGGACAGCAGCAGTGAGCCATAGTTCCCACTTAGTATACAATCATGAGGGTAAACAACTGATACCCTTATAAGCATTCTGTATTTATACAACCATGCTGTTTTGCACCTTCAGTACAGTGTTTAATAAATTACATGAGATATTCAACATTTTATTATAAAATAGGTTTTGTGTTAGATGGTTTTGCCCAACTACAGGCTAATGTAAATTTCTGAGCATGTTTAAGGTAATTGAGACTTGGCTATGATGTTCAGTAGGTTAGGTGTAGTAAGTCCCATTTTTTACTTATAATGGTTTTATCAGGACCTAACCCCATTGTAAGTCAAGGACATGTATATGCATGAACTTATTTCTGGTCTCTCTTTTGTTCCATTGATCTATGTATCTCTTTTTATGTGACTACCACACTGTTTTGATTACCATAGCTTTGTAATATAGTTTGAAATCAGGAAGTGTGATAACTTCAGCTCTTTCTCAAGATTGCTTTGGTTATTCAGAGTGTCTTGTGGTTCCATACAAATTTTGGGATTATTTGTTCTATTTCTGTGAAAAATGCCATTGGAATTCTGAGAGGGATTGCTTTGAATCTGTAGATTGTTTTAGATTGCACATTTTAACAATAATTCTTCGAACCCATGAGCATGGGATATCTTTCCATTTACTTGTGTCATCTTCAATTTCCTTCATCAGTGTCTTCTAGTTTTCAGTATACAGGACTTTCACCAGCTTGACTAAATTTATTCCTGGTATTTTTTTTAGGCAATTGTAAGTAGGATTTTTTTCTTAATTTCTCTTTCTGATAGTTCATTACAGATTATTTCTCATGTGACATCAATATCAGGAATATGCACTTCATAAAAATACACAACTCACCTGCAACTTTAGACATCACAGACTGTTGAGGAGAAGCCCGAGATCCTTCTCTTTTTTTCATGCTGGCATAAAATACATTCAGGAGTTGAGGCAGAAAGATAACAACTTTAACTTTTTTCACAGACTGGGGCACTCTTTTCTGGATAAACTCTTCAATGGCATCAATTATGGCTTCAGCAACCTTATCTGGGTCTTGCTGGGCATTTCCTGAAAAGACAAATAATAAAAACGACTGGGAGTGAGGGGAGTGGAAAATGACTGGGGGTAAAAAAGACCCAACTAGAAAAGGCTGAAGATTAAGTCAATTCTCACAGGATAAATGCCTGCTCCCCATCTTTTTCATCAACATGGACTTAGTTCTAACAGTGCATCAGCAAACGCTTTTGAGGTCCTAGATGCATTGGGTTCCAAGATGTCTGGAAGCCAACAGCCCAACAATGAACAAAAGATCTAGAAACCTAACGTTTGGTGCCTGATGTTCGTATCTGCTCTGTTCAACTGATCCCGGCTGAGTTCCTGTGTTACAAAGCACAATACACCTTTTTTTTTGGCTCACTAATGCACTCAAAAGATCAATAAAAGCAAAACATGTTAATCTATGTTGAAATACAATACTTTTTAAATAAAGAGAACAACAATTTTTTTGGCTCAGTCATCACCTGACTTTATGCATGTATCCTCATTTTCGCAGATGTCTTTAAGGAACTGACTTAAGCTAATTTTGTAAGACACCTGGAATAATCTATTTGTTATAATAATTCTTTGCACACATGTTAGCCATGAGCCTCCAGGTCTTTTCCTCCCACAGCCAGTGACTTTTAGCTGAGTTGCAAGGTTCAAGGTTGCGACCTAAGCAGGTCTTTTCCTATTTTCATCATGCTGTCTTTTTTTATTATTATGCTATCATTGATATACCATCTTACGAAGGTTTCATATGAACAACATTGTGTTACAACATTCACCTGTATTATCAAGTTCCCCCCACACCCCATTGCAGTCACTGTCCATCAGCGAAGTAAGATGCTGTAGAGTTACTACATGTCTTCTCTGTGCTATACTGCCTTCCCTGTGCCCCCCTACATTATGTGTGCTAATCGTAACAGCATGCTGTATCTTGCTTCTCAAGCCTACTGCCTAGGTAAGATCATGAGTCCATTCAAAAGCACCATGAAAAGCCATGGAGCAGTCCTGTATGACTGGCAACGACTGGCAACTGGCAAAGTCACATTGCAGGCTGAGAGGGGCAATATAAAAGTTCCCTGGCCAGCTTGGTATGATAGACTAAAGGCCCACTTGGATTATCCTTCTAATGGTGCCCACCATTACTGCAGAAGTTAGAGCAGACCTCTTTGACTTAGCTGGATAAACAGTGGGAATGTAGACAAACTCCATTTAAACTAACCAACAGTTTGTGCATTGTTTTGATCAGATGATCAGGGATAAATGGGAATTCTCCTTTGCAAAGTTGTGGTTATTTCATGATATTTGGAAGAATTTAAATGGGAGTGTTCAGATACCTTCATTCCTCTCTCAATAACAGTTACTGTGTCCCATCATGGGCTAGAGCTCATCTAGGCACTTAGGCCACAGAGGATATGATACATGGCAATGAAGAGATGTCAATCAAGTATGGAAAACTGCTGGGAAGGCTATGCCAGAAAGAACTGTTTAACGGGGTCATGGTGTGTTCGACCTGGAGTGTTTAGAGGAATAAGTCTGTTTTGGAGAAAGATAAATCTGGGGGAGGTGTACAGAAGGTGCTGGGGCAGGGAGCCCAAGTTTAGGTAGGAAGCTTTATTAAAAATTTAGGCAAAAGACAAGAGCTGAACAAAAAGAGGTCAGAATGAAGTCAGATGTAGGCACTGAAGAGATCATTAGGAATTAAGGTTAGCAGGATGTAGTGCCCAACTGGGGATCTCCTTGACCCTTTGTTCTCCCTTTTGCCACCCACACACTTTCCTGTGTACATCAGGAGTCACATAAGGCAGTTGTTTGTTTACATGTTTGCCTCCCATGGTAGGCTGGGCACTTTCTGTGGACTGGACCCTTTTCTTAGTCATCCTTTTATCCCCAGTGCCTACGCATGGTGCCTAGCACATGGCAGGCACTCAGAGAATATTCCATCAAAATAATTAATAAGCTATAAACACAGAAATGATCAAGAGCTTATAGTCAATTGAGTCCATGTACAGAGTGATGTTTTTAACCTGATCAGGGACAGAAGAGGAAGGGCAGGTTTGGGAAGGCACTGTTGGTTCAGATAGTGAATCGAGTTTGAAATTTGCCCTGAGCTTGAGATGCCTGACTACTCAATTCTCCCCTTAGGCAGGTGTCTATAAGGACAGGGACAGGGCTTCCTTTACTGCCAGAAGCTGTCTTGATCACAGTCCCAGTTCAACTAAAAAACACCTCTAAGGGAGAAAGCTCCCCCATCCATTAGTCTAAGGACCAGCTCAGGTGGTGATAGAGACTGGTAAAGAAGGCAAGCAAGGAGGATCTGCTGGCCTTGATTTATTTGTGCAGACCAGCAGTACCACCAGGTCAATAGGTCTGCAGTGACTCAGAAATACTCAAACAGGTGCACATATTTATACAGAAGAAAAACAGCCTCATCTCTTGTTTCTTCTTTCACTTCTCCAGGGCCTCCTCTGGGAAGGTCTGGGCCACCCCTAGGCTGCCTGCTTTCTTGGCCCAAACAAAGCTAAGGTAGAAACATAAGACCAGAGCTCAGAGGAAAAAGCAGATGGAGACAGAGACTGAGAAGTCATTAGGGGGTGTCCATTAAATATAGATAGATGATCCAGTTTCTTCCTCTAGATGATTT